GAGAAGCAGAAAAGTCCAAGCAACAGATACGAGCGATACTGAATGTGTTCAAGTTTGAGCAAAGAAAGAAAGGAATCGGAAAAAAAGAAACGACAGACCGCTGAATAGAAACAAAAAAAAGAAAGAAGGAAGGAAGGTGTAGGTGGCAGGAGAAAAGGAGGAAATGTTGGAGTGAGGGAAATAAGATGGTATTGAATGAACAAACGGAGGAGACTTAAGGAATGAAAGGGAGGAAATGGAGCAGGGAAGGATTGAAGGAGAGATCAGTAACAAAGCTTTAAAGAGGTCAAATGTCATTAAGCAGTGACAGAGCAGTGTCTGCAGAGCTAACTCCGTCTTGAAACAGATCGTCAATGAACTCCCTCACTGCCCTGACTTCATTAAACACCTCCACTTCCACTCATCCCTGAGCGAGCTGTGATTAGTTGGCTAGCTCGCTAACTTTCCTCCATTCACTGTGACCTCTGCTCAGGCACTGCAGCAGGGTTCAACATCAAGAAGATTTTCCCAGTTGCCAGTTTGGGCCACAAAGTCACTGGCACTTTCATCAGCGCAGGGGGCAACAGTAAAAATAATCACTATTTCATCCCCTATTAGTTATTTCAACAATAATACGCTGCCAAATTGCAAATTCACTTTGTGTTTTTTGCAAAATACAGACAGGTGACAAATTCAAGAGTAGGGCTAAAGCTACCCCTTATTTTAATTATCAATTAATCAGTAGATTTTCTTCCTGATTAATCTATTATTTGTTAAGTTCCCAGATCCCAAAAGTCAGTATTTAAAATTCCAGTTTACTTTCCTGAAGATCGATTTATGCATTAATCATCTGTTTCAATTTAGAAAAAAAAAAACCCCTGAATAACAAAGGGACGAAATATAAAAAATGCAGATGCAGGGGTCACTGAATGGTATGGATGGATGACAATGATGCCAATCTTATGTTTCAAAAGCACCAGATCTCAACCTTATAAAATGTGTGACATGTTGGAAAGCGTTCTACACCACCATAATCAAAATCAATCATCAAATAAGAACTTACATATTCACATTGTTCATTCCTCCAGTAGAGTTCAACCAACTTGGAAATATTATTTTCTTTAATTTATCATCTGTAGTTATTCCTAATATTGCAAAATTAATTAAAGAGGAAATATGAAGCAGTGATTGATTAATTGAAGCTTTAAATCCATCCTGGATTGATACAGTAATTTAAAGTAATGGTTCACCCAGTTTACATTACACCAGTTGAATTAGTCTGTGTGAGCAATAGAAAATGTTTGGTTAGCAGTAGCATTCCTCACAGCTCTGATACAGCTGTGGGTGAGTGACAGTAAACAGTTAGCTGCTGGTATCATTGAGAAAAAAATAATTAAAAACAGTAACACCTAATTAAATGCTAAATCATTTTGTGTGAATCCATGGTGTATGCGGGGCCCATTTGAATCCTGCAAGGAATGACGGACTCCACCACTAAAAATTAAAATGAATATTGCACATAGAGAGGTAATTTCAGCCTGTAAATATTGAATGACTGTTGCTGAAAAAATGTTAGTAAATCATATTAGAAAATCCTATCATAATCAGGGTTTGATTTCACGAGCTCTGCCATAATAATGTGATTACCATCACAAAAACACTCAACAGTGATAAACAAAGACATACAGCCAGGGACATAGAGCATATTCCTTTAAAGAAATCGGTTTTCCCTGGCTGTATATCTGTTTATCATCGTTGTGTGTTTTTTGCGATGGCAGTGAATATCGTGGCAGAGCTGCACTCAACCTGACAACTCTGTAAAATCAGTGGGGGCCAGCTGTTAGACCTAATCAAATCGTAAACAAGAGAAATATCTTCCTTTAACGTAACTTCAATAGATGATTTGTGATCCTGTGAGATGTTTTCAACAAATAGTTTAACTTGAAAAACCCCAAAAAGTAAAAAACAGAACAATGACAGTTTATTTTCTGGTGTGAAAGTGAGGCAAAGACACCAGGGAAACAAAGTTTGGAACTCTTAATAACACACACACACACACACACACACACAAATAACGCTGTACAGACATGCACACACATTTGACTAATGTGTCAGCCAACTAATCCCTCTCTTCCTCTATGTCTTCACCCAAAATGTGCATTATCTGGGCTGAACTAATCAGCTTTGTACTTTCTACTGTTTGACCTTCAGTGGTGGAGTAAGCTCTGCTCCCTCATGTCGGCTGGTTAGAAGTAGCCTCGGGCAAGTTTAAATTTGTGTTAGAGGGAGTTTGTTTGAGATGGCGAGGGAGTAGGAGAGACTATTTGTTATTGTATAAAAATCCAGAAACAGTTTCCTTCTCTCTCCTAATAAACACTTGGTCTTTAATGATGGGTGGTCCTCATGAAACTGTAAGAAATACTGTGTGCGTGTGGGTGCATAGACACACAAACAACGATCTCGGTCCAAATTGCAGCTGCCGTCAATTGCACTCACTAAGTAAAGGGGCAAAATTTGATTTGATTTGAGAAATGTAGAAAATAAAAACTGATTCACAAGGACATAAATAATTTTTTGTTTTCATCAGCCAACAATAAAATGTTCCAAAAGAGTAAAAAATGCAATCCCGAAGTTCCAAGAGGCCAAGGTGACGGCTTTAAATATATCATTTTGTCCGATCAACACCAAAAGATATTTAATTTACGATAACACATAACAGAAATGCACCAAATCCTCACTTTTAAATCACCTTTTTAGGTATTTTTACTTGATAAAAAAGGACTTAAATGGCTGAGTTAAATCTGTACACTTAAAATTATTTCAGATTTCAGATAATAACTTTAAGGGGCACAAAGAAGTAGAAATATCCAACAAGTCACATGAAAAAAGCAAAGATTTAAGTTTTTTGCAAATATATATATTACTTTCCTATCACATTATTTATCTTGCACCCTTTGAGGCAACAGCAGCACACAGAGTTAGACTTACTAGACAAATACGTCTTAAGAGAAACAAACTGAATAGTCACTAGAAAGTAATTTAGATGCGGTGTGGAAACTAACTGTAAGAACAGCTCAGACAAGTCACGACCACTGGGGAAACCTTGCTAAATGGTAAAAGAGCCAAGGTCAGGCAGAACCACCCTCAGGGTAGCACATATTTATTTTAAATGTTCTGCATTAGGCAAAATACTTCCTTCATGTGCCAAAGCAGTTTTAAAATGTACACCAGCGGTGACCTCTGGCTTCATCAAGGTATAATTAATGGTATTTATGTCTGGGCACGCTCAGTCTGAATGCGTGAGCTGTCAGCTGTAGCAGGCATCGGTCTAACGTTGCTCAGGTCAAGAGAAGGGAACAGCTAGTTCAGCGTGAACAGGCGGTTTCATCAGGAATCGCTGTAGCTGTCAGTGGAAGCCTTGAGACTTCTGTATTTAACTGTCTGGGACACTTCTGGGTCAGGAGTGTGTGTGAGGGTGCACGAGAAAGAGGATGTGTGGAGTTGTGAAATTGCAGTTTCAACTCTCGTGGCCTTCTACGAGTAGACTGACGAGCTGCATGTATATGTGTGTGCATTCATCCAGCTCATAAGCCCAAAGCCACTGCTGTCACTTCTCCCTCTGCAGCCACTCAGCGCTGGGTGATTGATGTCTGATGCTGCGCGCACTCGGTATTAACTTTCTTTTTCAAATCCAGATTGGATTGCAGGCGGGTGTTGATCTCCTTCACTCCGTCAATCATCCTAGAACTCTACCAATTGATCACATGCTTCTTTTTCCCCAGGCGGTGTGGCCATTGATGGCCAATTTTTTTCATTTAATACAAAATGTATTAATTATTTCCTGGGATAGCTTCCAGGAACTTGCAACCTGCATACATTGTAAAGATACAAGTTGCATGGAGATAACCCCAAAATTGTAAATGCTGGTACTTAGTCAAGGCTTTTTATTCCTAACCATCCACTTGAGTGCATGAATTTGGATTTTGTATGCTCATAGATGAAGGTATATATTTTAATCCCTCAAATAACCAAAACGTCGTGTTGAAGAGAACATTTCCACTACAATCACATAGGAAGGTGACCCCTGACTAAGTGACATATTTTATGGATATTTCATATTATATTAAATGCATAATTATGACAGTAGAGACCAACTGATAAACTGAACAAAAAACCCAAACAGTGTACACAGTAACTGCAGGAAAACAAGCCATTTGGATACATTTTGAGCAGGTAATGTCCTGTGAATATAGCATCAAAGCTGAGTTTTCCCGATATTTTAACACTGAAAACAGTTCTTTGTCTCTAATATGTATTAATTTATTATTTAACAATAATACATACTTCATAAACTTATTTTCTTATATAAATTCAGTGTTGTTCAGGTGTTTTAGTTTTCTTCGCAGAATAAATGAAATGCAGAGATATAAGCCTACTGCACAGTACTGCTTGTTTTCTTATTTCTTATATTTATATGTGTGAGTAGTGTATATGCAGGGATGCATGTTTCTATGTGTTTCTTGAGGATTGCAAACAAAAGTTCTACCTTGTGGAAAATAAAAGTTATTTATCTCAATATATACAAGTGGTGAAATTATTCCACTAATGTAAAGTTGATGAGGATAAATCCAATACTACTACAGTTTGATGATTCCTGAGTTTCCCAGCTTTTAGTCTTTTTATTTATTTTAAAATTGCCTCCAGATGTTGCCAACAACTGTTGCCATGATGGACTTTAGGTGCCAAAGAAACAGCCCATGCATGAATGAGTGAGTAATGCTGCTGTCATTCTTTAGTCCTTTCAAATTAAACCGTATATTTGCAGAGAAGAAGAACAGTTCCCACGGCAACATATGCTCAAGTTAAAAGTACCCCTCGTTATGGTAATGACCATCAAGCGTATTGGAGGAATCTGAATTGCAGTCCCACAGGGAATTTGAAAAGTATGGTATGCATCTCTAATATTGCCATACGTGCTTGAACCTTTTTTCTACATGTGTTTGTGTGTGAGAGAGATGCACCTGTGCCACGGCCACTTGGGTCTGCTGCTGTTGCTGCTGGAGCTGCTGCTGGAGGAGCTGGATCTGGTGGTGGACAGACAGGGGGGCACCTGGTGGCAGTGTGCCCGATGCAGGGAGCAGCATCCTGGGGCTGGACATCAGCAGAGATGGCTCCTCTGAAGCCTGTCATCAGAGAGAGGAGAGATGGGGGTGAAGCCAATAGTTAGTGATATGGAAATGAAAACATTTTAATATGCCAGAAAAAAAAATAGAAAATCTGAACAATTAGTGAAACACTGAATGGTCTGGCAGGAGTGTATCACTGCCTTGAAGGGACCATTCAATATTTTACTTTACTAATTTTATTTATATAATGGATGAGGATGACACTGATAGTTGTTTGATTTTAAGGAAGTTCACCAAAACTATTATATCAGTTTTCAAAACTCGAGTTCACAAAAAGTTACAAAGTTGAGGATGCAAATACACCGGAAAGAAGGAAGAAATAATTAATGAATAAATAACTATAATCAGGACAAGCAATGGCATCAATAAAATGCCTTAGAGAACAAGTCATCATCAAAACAAGAATCTGAATTTGAAATGTAGAATTGTTGATTAGTTGCGCCAGTGTGGGAAGAGCAGGGCTGAGAATACAGATCAGTGGCACTGAAACACTCCACTCCAACAATAATGAGCTCTGGGACTCAGTTCTCCTTCATCTAACGCTATCAAGCATCCTAATTGTTTCAAGGCTCTGCTAACCAGTCACACATTGTGCCCTCTCCATCATTCAACCAGTCAAAAATATTTTTGTTATGCAGATATGGCGCCTTAATCACGCTAAAATAAAAAAAGCATCAGTCCCATTTATGAAATCCAAATTAGCAACATTTGAAAGTGGGCAAGAGTTGAACATATCTAAACCCACTGTTGGTCCAAAGTGGATCCGATGCCATTGTTCAGTGGATACAGGTATGAGGGCACACACAATGAGGCTCTATCCAAATTAATCACCTACTTGGAGTGACCCACAAAAAAGAGTGCTACAAGGTCCACAGCTGGCACAGAGAACAATAAAGCATGCTATGACCTAACGCCATCTTCCACATGGATATCCCACAGGCAAGACTTCATGGATTATGTACTTGGCCGCATTTAGAGTTGATATTTCACACGTCTGAATAAAATACTGACACAGTCACTGGGAAGAGTAAATGTACGTATGCATCTTGGAGGGAAAAATGCCTCTCCTGTACACCTTTTCAACATCTGGCCAGAATACATCTCAGTGTCTAATGCTTTGCAGATGCATTTACAATTGGCTTTTTTGCCACTTTTTTGCTATAGCAACAACAACTAAGCCATATATTGCCAGAAAAAAAGACTCAAATATGAATCGCATGAAATGCCCCCCCCAAAAAAGAAGGGGAAATTGGGTTTTTCATTTCTCAATCCATCAAAATGTTAAATCAGAGAATGGTTCCTCAATAAGCCACTGTGTGTGTCAGACGCTGAAGGCAAAAACTGCAATCTACATTTTTCACAATTTTCTGTCAATTTATGGACCAAACAACTGATCGATTGTTCGAGAAAATGATTGACAGATTAATTGATAAGGAAAAGTAACACATAGTTGCAACCCTACTTTTTGCCATATTTTGGGAATAATTTTGTTACTTTAATATTTTGTCTTGCCGCAAAACAGCACAGTACTTAATAAAAAAAAGATGGAAAACACATTACTGAAGCAAAAAGAAAAGTGCATTGCTCGCTTTATACATGACGGGCTCGACAACTTTATTGGTTTCTGCTGGGGTCACCTCTGCGTTCCTGTTTTCCCCAGCTTGCATAAGTTAGATCACGGAACAGAAACTGGTTGCTGGATATCAACCATTTCTGAAAACGGTTTCATGGCTTCCGAATCTGAATAGGTTGCTGACTGAATCCAAATTATGTCACATCACTAACAGGAGACGCAAGGTGCTTCAAAGTGACTGGAGTCTCGATGCCGGATGGGGTCGGCAAACAAGTCAACACCTGATTAAATTGAACCTGAACCCGCCTTGAGGGATCTATGGCAAAACACTTCACCATCTGTCTCTCCTTAAGCACCTTCTGGTGGCACACAGACAATGATGCACACACACACACACACACACACACACACACACACACACACACGCAGACACACACACACGCAGACACACACACGCAGACACACTCTCCATGAGAGGAATATATGACTGATAGCCTGTCTGAGCTGGATCTTTTAGGTTAATGAGAGGAAATTACCCAAGTTGACAAGTTGTTTCTTGCCATCACCTAATGAATATTAGCTCTGTGTGTGTGTGTGTGTGTGTGTGTGTGTGTGTGTGTGTGTGTGTGTGTGTGTGTGTGTGTGTGTTAAAGAAAAGAGCAAGTTGACAAAGACTCCTCAGAAACATGTAAGATCACATAAAATGAGCTCACTTTCTCTTAAGCGCGTCTTTAAAGGAGACACATCATTCAGCGTGTTTTTTCACAGAGGCTACTTTCAGGCACCTGAAAGCCTCAGCCTGTAAAGGATGTTAAACAGGATTGTTGCTTTTGCTTTGAAACAGCGAGTCTCGTCAGGCAAGCAGGGAATGTTCAGTAACTGGAAGAGTGAATAAGATGATTCAGCAGTCGAACTATCAGAGAGGAGAAATGGTGACATGTTTGGCTTTCAAGCAGTATGGACACAGGAGCTTTTCTCAATTATAGAGAAACTGGAAAGGAAGACAGACATAAACAGACTGGCAGCAGCAGCTGAATATGATACAACACAGATGGGGAAGAAATCCCATTCGGAATACATCTGAGCAGTCATCTCCAACATTTGCCCATAAAAACTTCTATTTTACTGTTCTATCCCACAAATTCTTATAATAATGGTAGTTTAACCAATAACCACTTATATAAAAGAATTTACATTTACTGGTGCAAACATCCATTGTCATCATCAACAGAATATTCTAAGAAAAAAAACATTAGCAGTACCTTCCACAGTATTTGGATGATCATTTCTGGGCTGTGCTGCCAGCATTTAGCACCAAATATATATATATATATATATATATATATATATATATTTTCGACATTCAACATAAAAGACAGCTTTTAATGTGAAAGTGTCACTAAGGGCTTGGTTATATTAGAAGTGGTTGGTATATCGTGAAGTTTGACCATGTTGGAAATCAAACACATTTATAGTCAGCTGCACTGGAAGGCTCATAGAGAGGAGGGAGATGCAATATAGTTTCAATACGGGGACGACGTTGCAAACTTCTCTCTGGAAGTCTCTTTTGGAAGACATTGCACTCTGTTGTTCATGAAAAAAAAAAATGAGGGAGAAGTTCAAACCAAGCTTACTTTCTCTGCACAACTGACCAATCACTGTGGGAAGAAGGAGTGAATGTCAGATTGTTGGTTTCGGACAATTACAGACAATCTAACGTTGGAAAGGTGAGGGGGGTAGACGGATTCTTTACCTATTTTACTGTCCAACAATCAGGTCTGGAGAAGCATAATGGGAGTATAACAGTGCGACTAAGAATTAATAAATTTTCTCTAGTAGTGCTATTTATCCATCCAGACTGTTTTGGTGTGAGTTGCTGGGTTTTGAAGATATTGGCTTAACACCCAATTTAGCAGTTCTTTACAGCTTTTAGACACTTTTAGCTCATTTATTGGGACACAGACTGTATGGTTAAGTCTCAAGGCTTTCAACAAAACAAAGGTCAAACATGTTGAGTATATGCGTATGTGCTACCTACCCAAGAGAAGTGAAATATTAGCTGGTTAAGAAAGTCAAGCAAAGGGGTCTGGGAACCTAACCAGAGCTAAAAGGAGATTGACAACTGGGCTTACATTTGTTGGCTGGTCAAAACCCTAAATTCAATGGATGATCATGTAGTTCTGCGTCTGTTGAAAGTACATAACTGCTTGATAAGCTCAGAACCAGATTAAATTATATGACAACTATGTTTACCTGCTGGTGGTCACAAATGTTGTCATGCAGCTTTAACAGCACCAAAATACATAAAGAGTCAATGAAGCAGAGAGGTAGCAGTGAACATTTTTCCCCTCTGGGCCAAGAAGAATTTATGAAATACGTCACCTTGTTTTGACCTATAATTATAGCATCCCCTTCAGCCAATAACTGTAATTTCAAAAATAGCAAATAGCTATGAAGATTGGATGGCAAATTATTGTCAGGAGCTGCATTATGCCTGGAATGCCTCCTCAAAAACGGATGGCCGATCTAGAAAGGGTTGCAGCATGTGAAAAACTGTCACATGGGATGTTTAATAGGGCAGGAAAATATGGGTGTTTGAGGAGTCAAGTGGATAAAGATTATTGAGAAACTCTTGTAATCTTGTTGTGAATGGGTATGGGGAAATAAAAAGTCCATTCATAAAGAAATACTTCAGCAGTGATGAGAACTATCATTTTTAAAGTCCGTTAACTTGGAGGTTTCATGCGTGAGGAGTGAGTAAATTAGCTGAGATGATGGATGGATGGATGGATGGATGAAAATCATCCACAGTGATCAATTTTCATTTTGAGAGACAAAAAGTGAAGACGAGCATCGAATCCAATATGAATGCTTTTGTAGAACATGCCCACACACACTCTCTCTCTCTCACACACACACACACTTTCCAACACAGTGAAGTTTGCTGAGTGAAGACGTTTGCATATTCAAACACAGTTTTAGCCTCTCCGTACTTTGTTTACTGTACAGAATGAGAAAACACAATCCATCCCTGTACACTGAATCCTAAACTTGTTTACCGAAGTCAAAGCCAATTAAAGAAGACAGCAGAGTGGAATATTCAAACTGAGTGGGGGAGTTAAAGAGGACGGGGAAAAACGGCCTACCACTGAAATTACTCATGATAACTGCTCGAGTCTGGTGTGCCAGAGGGGGGTTCTGCTATTACCATCTAATTCCCACACATACACATGCTAATACAGGTTCTTAGCAGGCAGCTGGAGTCTCCCTTTATCTTTTAGCCTTTATACTCACTGAGGGACAGAACGAAGTGAGGAAGAAACCAGGGAGGAAAAAAGGAACCTAAAGATAGATGACATGGGATAAAGGAAGTCTTTATTTCTCGTCCTCCAGCTGTGATTACACTAGCTGCTCTCTGTCTGTC